TCCGTAATATATACAGTTCAGTGTTGGGAAATCGTAGGAAATTTCCTTTGGGAAATTTCCTCTTCGACATGTTAGTGACAATTTTTGCGCCAAGGAACTGCGGCGAAATTGCGAATAAATGGCGAAATTCGGAGGTCGTATAAAATAACAATAAATGTCTTTAAATGATTCCTCGCAAAGTTGTCCAGTTCCCTTTGTTTAGAAAACGATAACATGGCACAAATGTCAATTGGTTTCAACCAGGGCGCTTATATATAAATGCGTGGTTTCAACAGAAGTTCAAGCTGTTCAACTTTGAATTGTTAAAGATGTTCGCGATGCCCCAAAATAATTCTTGTGGCGGCGCTAAAATCAGGTAAGTTATTTAATAATAACAAGAGTTATGTCATACTATAGTCCTGAAACAACACAACACAACAACAATAGTGCGAGGCCAACGCTTTTACGGCTGGGCTCATCACTTTTTTTGTTTTTATTAATATAAATAGATTACGATTGTGTTTATTGTAGCTAATTTGTACACAGCTAACTGTACCTGCTTGTAAATAAATAAATTGTATGATGGTTTTCATCAATCCTACCTTCATCACACACTAATTATAGTAGGTACAAATGTTTGCCATTTCAAAGCCATACTCAATACAAACAAAATTTAAAAGTTTGCCAATACTGAAAAGGGACATTACTTTCTTACCTACCACAAATATTCAGAAAGCTGCTGTAATCATAACTTTAACATAACATAACCCTTAGATAGACGTTTCAAGATGCATTGAAATGAGGTGCATTGGTGCATTTCATGAGGGTTTTTTATATTTAGGCAAAATTTATATATTATAGATATATTTGTTATATAATTGTCACAGAATAGCTAATGATTGATTGCCAAAAGATTGAAATCTTAACAATCAGCTGCCCAAAGACAGAAATCTTAACAGCTTAGAAATCAAAGCCAGACTGTGTTTTTTAGTTATATATAATACATATTTTTTAACAAAATAATGGCCTATATTTTTCCTTTTAGCATATATGAATTATATTTACACTAATATTTACCACAGAATAGCTATTGAACTGGTTGCCAAAAGATAGGAATCTTAACAACCAGCTGCCCAAAGACAGAAATCTTAACAGCTTAGAAGTTCATGCTAGACTGTGTTTTTAAGTGAAGCCTTTTAACATTGCCCTCATCATAATTTATAACTGAGACTGTTTACTGATTTGTTTGCAATTACTTTTCCGTACATACATTATAATCACAATACTTAAAGAATATACCATTAAAGTGTAGATGGAGTTTACTACAGCTTCTCAATGTTTGCATACTAGGAGTAGCTATGTGTATATACAGCTTTAAGTTCATGGAAGAATTTGTTTCCATTTTTACCCTAATTGATTAGCTTCCAAATTATATGAATGGTGTGTACATTGTACTTGTACATATACATTCTCCTAGGAAATTATAATTTCATTACACTGCATAAATTCTATGCACAACAATAAAAACAAATGGCCATGCATGCAACATCAGCTTTTACCATTATCATTAACCTTTCGGATAATAATCTATTATAGCTTAAGAAAGTTTGCTATGTATTTTGTTCAATAATTGCTTTAAGGTGGTTTTAATTGTTTTTAGCCATCAGGGGTTGCAAGATTGAGAAAATTCCCAAAAGAGTTGGCCTTAACTTTGCTAAAGATGAAGAGGATTTTTCACCCAGTGAAAGAAGTTCCTGATTCATTATCTGCTCACCTATAGTTTTTAATATCTTACCAAGTGAAAAAAACATCACTTGCTTTGCTCAACAATTTACTATTAAGTATAATTTCTGACATACTCCAGGAGCAATGTTTCATATATACTAAACACATTGCTTATAATTAACAATCAGCTGATGAAAGATTGAAAATCATAACAGCTTAGTAGAAGTTCATGATAGGCTGTGTTTTTGCTACATATTTTTGAACAATTTGTGATGTTCCAATAATATTTTATAAATGTGAAATGTTGTAACCCATCACATGTACATGATCTGTTAAGGACTGTATAAAATTTAAATAATTGACTGAAATCTTAGTATTGCATTTGATCAACCTTGATAAAACACATTAACTGTGGATAAACCTACCATTGCAATGTGTATGACTGCTATGCAAATTAACATGGCACCTAAAGATTATGCATGTTTGTTCATATTGATATTTTCCTTAATGGACAGACTTGAGGGACAATAAATGCCTAAACATTCGCACAGGCTGCGAACGCATAACCCATTATAACCTCTTATCACCAGGTAATTTGTTAATAAATGTTGAGATTACTCCCAACATGGTCATAGGTATAGTCTATAGGCCGGCTATTAAATTCAACTGCACGATATTTAGTCACTCACCGAAGAGGTCCCTTACGCACAAACAGTATATGCGTTTTCGGTTTTGAACAATAAAAATCCTTGAAATACGGTTAATATTCGTTATCATTTTACACGTATTAGCGAACATAAGGTGCTGTGGAAATCGCGCCATGCAATCTCATTTCTATTTCGCGCATTTTCTTCATCAGACTTCGTGGGAATCGTAGCATACAAATACTCGCCGGCATGCTCTTTAACTGCGACCAGAGTTTCCAGACTTTACCAAGCCCTTGGCATCCTTCACTCTCTTCCCTTATTTATAAGCGCCAAAAAGATTTCTTACAGCCACAAACGCACGATCTCCTCGTTCAATGTTTATTAAACTCGAAAGCGCGCTTTTTGGTTTTTGCGCCAAATTATTTATAAAATTCCACTTCAATTTTTCAGCATTCAAAATAAAGTTTAAAAATGTCAGCTGATGAATTTATTTTGTGGAAACACGGATTAAGTGAGAAGTGAGATATTCCAAGTGTGAATATTGGTCAGAATACGCGGCATATTCACGGCGTATTCACACTTAGAATACTGAAGAATACGATGCCGTATTCACACTAATATTCCATGTCGGAATACGCTTGCAATATGTGTTTTATTCACACCCGTATTCACATGTGAATACCTTGGAATACGGCGCATTTCATGCAGTGAAGTGATAAAGCAGAAGTAAAAATATTGAATAAAAGTCTGGCAGGACTGTTACTAAATTAAAGGAGCCATCGCTAATCGCTTTTCGTTTGAATATTTTCCATGTAACATGTAACATCGGTATCGAGTTCTCTTAAAATCGAAGGAAATTTTCTTAAAGGCCATTTTTATTATATTATGATTATTTATTATTATTATTAATATTATTATTACCTCATTGTAGGCTATCATGTATCACGCGTTCTTATTGGCTACGGTACTAGTGCGATATTAATGATGGACTATAATAATATGATAGAGGGCTGACTAAACATTATAAAAATGTCACTGAAGTAATCAGAAAATGAAAATAAACTTTTTGCAGTTACTTTTCAGCTATGAGAGTAGAAATATAGGTTTAACTAACGGATTTAAAAAAATTACTATATGTGCATGCAAGGTAAACTATAACGGTTATTACGTTCATGACATTGATAAGTTGTTCTTCTTTGGCTTAAAAATAACATTTTTTGCCTTTTCCTAGCTTGTGCTTACATCCCTTAGATATCTTTCTCCCAAACTTGTCGGTGAGTTCTACCGTGAGAAAATCTGTTCCTTGATAACTCCAACTGCCAAATGCATACATTTCTCTCTTCGGCCCAGACAGCGCAGTCGTTATGTCTTGATGAACTTCTTGACCATTCTGCCATCTTGCGGAATGTTTCCCTACTAATTCAAAGACGGCTTTCCACGTGCACTTTACGTCGAGCGGTGTTCTGAAGAAATTGATTAGAATTGCTTTTTTCTTTGGTACCTTAACCGAGACTTCCGTCTTATCAGGTATATTGTACATTTTCGTTTTACTAGCTTCGATATTAAAAGAGGTTGCGGCAAAAATTTCACTTCGAAAAATTGGTTTTGTCCCTGCTCCAGAAAAATCACCACTGATGTTTACAGATGTTCCAACATTTACAGCCAGAGACAATCCAGTACCGATTTTAAGTGATGATCTAGTTGAAAACGTTGTAAACAATTTGGTGCACCTGTATGGAATAAAGAAAGCTGAGCATAACAACGGATGGCCAACTTTAACTGGACGAGTAGTTTTGGTGTCAGGTGGATTCTTGTCTTCAACGATGAATTTTAGAGCATTTAGTGCCAACATGTTTGTATGTTCCGAGATATCCGCGCACTTATATGTGCTACTGTCTGCCGATTTATCCATTGCATTCATTGAGCAACGTTTAAAGTGTCCGGATGCATCTTTCACATTTATCGCGAGATCAGGTCTTTCAACCCACGAGTCTCCATTGTAGGCCCCCATCTTACAGCATTTAAACTCTTCCAAGCCGTACAACTTTTGGCACGACGACCTATATAAACCCGTCATGTAGTATCCAGATGCACACGAACTCCACCCTTTGCGATCAAACGAACTCCAGACATTGTGATTGTAACAGTTGCCCCAACTCTTTACTTGGGATTTTGGTCGACAGCATTTGGCTTCTTCTATATTGTATAAATTATGTCCCGACGTTCTATAGAGTCCTGTCATGTAATAGCCATTTCCGCAGACAGACCAACCCTTGCGATCAAAACTTCCCCACCAGTTGTGGTTGTAACAATCTTGATCTTTCTTTGATGGATACAGATAACCCGGCGCATCGACACACTTTGCTTCTTCGAGGAGGTAAATAGGGTCGGACCCAGATCGCGTGTTCCGATACATTCCTGTCATGTATGTGCCACTTCGACACAATGACCAACCTACACGATCAAAGCTTCTCCACCAGTTTTCGATGTGACTTTGTACACCAGGTATTGTAACATATGCCTTCATGTATCTTCGATATCCGTTGTTTGTCTCCCACTCATGACTGAGTCTACGAAGCACTTGTTTAGCGACGTCAATGTTGCCAACTTCGCTGACGGAATATGCACTAGGTCACCACAGCAGCTTTGTGGTCCATGACAGGGTGACCACGAGCGGCATTTGGTTGTGCATCGACTTTGCTTCACTTTTTGTCCGTTTGGATAGACATTTCCACATTGACATTCATCGCCTTTTGTCGCAGCCAAAATATATCCCTTATTTCTGCAGGTATCTTGACACATAAGATTTGAGTTGTGACCTCCCATTTGCTTTGTCAGGCCTGCAAATGGGAATGAAGAAAAACATCCTTCTACTGCATTGTAGTTTACTGATCGTTTTTTCTCAATTGTACCACTTGACGTCGATACCGCGAACGGTGACATGAATGTAATCAAAACCAACACTTTTGGGAGGAACATTTTCAATCTCTATCAATAAAAAAGTAAATCATGTTGAAAGTACATTCCATTAGAAGTTAAGTTGGAAGCTAAATTTACAGGCTAAATTGAGTTCGTTGCATTTAAATTTCCCGCGAAATCGAGTATTTTAAGTGTAAAGTTCATATTAACGGTCGACATACATCATGGCAACCGCTAAAAAAAAATAATAGCGATCAAAATCACTCTGCGGATTTAATGAACTTCAACTTGATAAAGTTTAGACAATATTTCGCAACTTGTTTGGGCTGAACTTCGCTTTTGTTTTACTTATTTTTCGAAACTTTTAAGCTTGGTTTCATCGTTGTTATCATAGATTTCAGGATAGTTTCATTAATCTTTTCGGCTGCTTTCGTCGGAGAAATATGGAACAGGCCGAAAAAAACGCAGGTAAAAAATTAGTTTTTTCCAAACTACTTCGTCTGAAGTTTTGAAAATGTATTTCATTTTTCTTCTTCTTCTCTGTGCAAAATTTGGCGACATCTATTTCGTGCAAAATCAATGTTTTTATGATAAAAAGTATTAGAAACTAAATGAAAAGTGACAGTCGGATTATATAATTTTCAAACCTGATGGCTGAAATTATTTCATTAATTCAAATTTATTCACAAAGATCACTGTATTTTTTATCTTTATACCTTTCACAATGATACTGTTAAAATGGTAAAAAGTAACTGACTGAAATGTTATTGTTTATTTCGTTTTGATAAAGAACATGCATACGATGCATGGCACCTGAAGGCCGATTTTATTTAAAAGTCGAATTCGAATGCATCTGACGTTCTCTATATTTTGTGTCACTACAAAACACTATTCTTTCTATCTACTACCGTGCAATAGATGCATGTTTAATAACCACCGGAATAGTTGAAAAGAAAAGGACACCATCATAAAAGGAAAACACTTCCGAATTTTCAGGTTTAATACTTTTTTCGCCTTCGGCTTTGCAATCATGTTTTGTACATCTTCAAGCGCGGCTGCTCGCATTGTGGTTACTTTTAGCATAATATTGTGGGAAAATAAATATTAAATGGCAATTCAAAATAGATAATGATATTATGTTTTAGTTATGAATATTTTACCGTCCATGTCATGCATGAGTGCCAAGTTCAAAAGTTGTTTTGCTTTTCAGTCGGTATGCATGACATCACATGTACTGTAGTCTATATACACAGGGAAAATAAACTAAAAAACTCCGTTGTATATTATATCTCTTATAGTTTTCAGTGGCGTAGGAAGGGCCAAGATTTTTCAACGGACCAAAGGTGACCTTTTTGTGAAAAAAAAGCCTTTTAGGGAAGCGAAAAGAAACAAAAAAGTATCTACTATTTCCCAAAATTCCTTAAATTGAGAGGGATTTGCGGCCATTTCAGAGGCCTATATCTCAAAATTTTCTGGGAAGAGCATGCCCCCGGACCCCCCTAGCAGTAAGAAGCCCAAGAAATACGAAAAATGCTCTGCGGTTGGCGGTCTCTGAATTTTTCGTCCCCTATATATATATTTTTATTAACCATTTTAACCGTCCTTTTTATTAACCAAAAGTGCCCCTAGAAGCTGGTGCCCCCCAAACCTCTGGATGCTTCCTACGCCCTTGATAGTTTTTGCCAACAGATTTCTGCTATTTTTTTTTTGATGAGTTGTAACATTGCTCTAGAATTACAGCTTATTGATCGATAGAATTGGTATAGAATAATTTTAAATGAGAAATGTGAACATGGTGGTGGTTCGACCGTGACTTTTCAATAATTTTAGTCACAAAAACATAAATTTTGCACCAAATACAGTAGGGGGCTAAAGTTTGAGTCCAGTCGTCTTAGAATTCCAGTAATAAATCCTGGCAGTGTATTCGAGTTAAAACATGCGTGCTAATGTTTCAGTATTTTAAACCATATTAATTGCACACTGTTTTGGTCCCAATGATCTAAATTATAACACAATAAAGTTCTCTTTCTTTTTCACTGCCCAAGATGGGTGGGGAAAAGGGCAAAGTGATGGTGCACAAGGACAAATAGTTGCATTAAGTATTGAAGGATTTTTTTCTCGTATAATCGCAGAAAAAGTGGAAATTTCAAAAGGTGGTATGCAACTAACCTTGGAGAGGTTTCGAAGAAATTAAATTCTACTCAAGCAAACTTTTAGCTGCTTCGGTCATGCTGGGTTTGGCAATATTGAAAGATATAATAGAATCCTAATTAAAGAGAAGTATCATCCAGTTCTTCAAGGAAATGGAATTTCATCTGGTACAAAGAAGATCGCGCGTCTAACTACATGATAATCACCCTAAGCACATGCACATCTTCTATGTGCCAGAAATCTTTTAGAAGCAAACTCGTTCTGGTGATCTCGTTTTCATGACTTTCCACCTCAAATTCCAGATCTAAAACTTATGAGACACTTTTAGGACTGTTTTAATCGGAAAAGGTTAAGGCACATACCCACCAGCCAGGATGACTTGAGGCAAGTGGTCAACGAATGCTGGCAAGGTAGTGAACGTGCGAAATTAAAAACCTAAGAAATCTATGCCAGCAAGAGTATAAAGGCCGTTTCAAGAGCAAAAATAAGAAATACGGCTAAGCATTGAAATGGAATGCATGTTTGCACATTAACATACGTTTAATGAATATCATAACATCTCATAGTTGTTGTGCAGCATGTACTTTTCAGTTTACTTATTTACTTTTTTGCAGTTCACTTATCGGTAAGGTTTTCTATAGAAAATTAATATATGCCGCTAAAACAATGAAATACAGTCACTGGACTCAAACTTTTGCCTCCTCCTTTATATGTCGCCAAATTTTGCACAAATAACAGGAAAAAAAATAATTTTTTTTTTTAAAAATTGAGACGAAATAGTTTGGAAAAAACTAAATTTTAACCTGAGTTTGTGTCGGCCCTTATCATATTTCCCCCCAAGAAAGCAGCCGAAAAGATTGATGAAAACATCACAAAAACGTCTCAAATGAAAGGCAAAACTCCTTCACCTAAAAAACAATTATAACAACGATGAAGGTATCGAAAAGTGTTTAAACGAAAGGCGGAAACAGGGATATAAAACGGCGAAAAGCTTTGTACTGCAGAAATACTTTTTTGCATAATAAGCCTCATTATGCTTAGTCAGGTGCATCATATCTTCTGTGATTAAAGCTGTTAAAAAGTAAGTTTTATCAAACCTAATATTATATACTATTAATATTGAGAGTAGTTTGGAAAATCTAATACTCAGTTCTAGCTTTTATATTAAACTGAAAAACACTAAGAACTTTGCCCCCTCCCATGCATGCCCTACAATTTCATAGCTTAATGGAAGTAGCAGGTTTGAGGTCTACTCCCAGTGTATTTATAAACAGATTTGGTACATTTTTCTCACTATAACCTTACTATAACCTTTCTTCAGTAGAAAGAAATCAAGCTTGTTTATCCAGCACATACCATGGTTAGAAAAGCAGCACTTATTTATCACTAGCTATTTGTTTTCCGAACAGGTTGACAAGTCTTCACTTTGTTGTACATATATGACATTTTAATTGTCATTTAGCTTAGGGTTGTTCAATTGTCACATTGATTTGCATTGGTGTAAACGGCTTCAAATTTATTTTGAGGAATTCAGCTTCCTCATTCATATGTCTGACTTTCATTTTACCACCGAAATATATTTTTGAGGATTCACGAAGAAATACTAAAATGATTTATTTTGCTTTCAGTGCAATATCATCTGCGGAATTTCATTGGTCCCTAGCTATGTACTGATGACTGAAAATTTTCTATGGCATGCTCATCAAGTGCAATTAATGCTTGTTGCACTTAAACACAATGGAGTAGATACTGAAAACCAGGGGTACATAATATACATATTCACAACCCCTCGTTTTCAGTATCTATACTCCATTAATTGTGTTAAGGTGCAACAAGTATGAATTGCACTTGATGAGCATGCATGCCATAATTAAGCTAAGCATTTTATAGGCTGGCCTTTGATTTCTTTCTTATAACTAGGAAGAGTTATGAACTCAAGCTGCTCAAACCTACTTACATTTCCAACTTCCTTTTCTGGTCTAAGTGTGGTATGATTAAAATCAGATGGGGCTGTTGCTGTTTATGTGCAGTGCATCCAACTGGCTCTAGTAGAAAAATGTATCAATTAAATCCGGTTACACTGGTAGCACCCTAGTCAGGCAACTCTAAATAGTAATATTACTTTAATAATATTACTATTACTATTACTTTAGTAATATTAGGTTTGATAAAACTTACTTCAGTTTTAATAGCTTTAATCAGAGAAGATGTAAAAGCGCCTTACTATACACAAAAGAGCTCAAAAGAGAGTTCACTTTATAACTTTTTGACGGACATGGACATCACATTATTGATATTGATTATTGAATGACTTCAACTATTTGTCCTGTATTCCAAAGTGCATGTCCTAGGTTAGACAGTGAGGACAAGGGCGACGACGATCAAAGCGAAGAAAAAGCATCAAGTTTGAAAAATTAACAAATTGCGTGCGTATATTAGCAATGTAGCAGGGCTACAGAATTCAAGGGCCAGGCTCATTTTATCAAAAATTGACCGTTTTTATGGAAAAAAGTTTATATCGAATGACACAATTTGCTTTTGAACGGAATTTATTTTACTGCTCCTTCCGTTTACATGTTTCTCATTCTGGGTTTTAAAGATTCCGGAAGTTCTCATTCCGGCTTTTAAAGATTCAGCAGATTCTCCTTCCTGGTTTTAAAGATTCCGCAGATTCCCATTCCGGCTTTTAATTATTCCGGAGATTCTCATTCCGGCTTTTAAAGATTCCGGAGATTCTCATTCCGGGTTTTAATCATTCCGGAGATTCTCATTCCGACTTTTAAAGACTCCGGAAATTCTCGTTCCGGGTTTTAAAGATTCCGCAGATTCTCATTCCCCGTTCCCCGTTCTTGGCTCCCCGTCCCTCGATTACCCGCTCTTGGTTTTTAGGAAAAAGCGTAGAGACAATGACAGGAATATTTGTTTTACACAATAATTATAATACAACTTTTTTGCTATCTTAGATCTAGTCACTTGGAATTATATAAACATAAACTTATAATACTAAACAATGTCTATCAAGTGTATTTTGCGATGAAATTTTAGCTTTTAGGATATCCGTTGCGTACAAATATTGGTATCAAAATTGCACATCGCTATAAACTTTACGAAAACAGTCATAAGGTAGCATTCCAGTTATTTATTAAAGTTCACTGGTAATTCGTAACAACCGAGCAGAATATGTACCCTCCTAGGCGCTCGCTTGGTGATAACAAAACAGTCGAACCCCAACCGTGCAACTTTCACGATCCATGACATAGAATTTTGACAATAAGTATGACGAGTGAGAATAAGTTTGACGAGTATAGCTCCTACCTATATACGATAAAATTAACTATATAGCAAATATATACATACAGTATACATGCTAGTTTTATTTATTGCATGCATCTAGCTACTGATTTTCAATCATTGCTATCATGAAATATAGAAACGGTGTGTCTACTCGATGATAACGTTTTTCAAATTAAACAAGACGTTTGCAAAGCGTTTACTCAAGCTAAAGAAGCTGCTTTTAGCCAAGAAAGTTTATAAATAAAAGTAGAAGACTGCAAAAACATCGCATGTTAACTTAAAACGAGGGCCATCTTTAAGAGCGGAAGAAAAGTCCATATTGATTGCCCATGTCCATTTTAGCAACATGCTTAATAGCTTACTAGATTTTAAAATTAAAATAACACATTGAGTACAAAAAATATGCGCAGTCCGCCTTTTAGTTTTGATCGAGTTGGTCTAGAAAGGGTACATTCAAAAATACCTGGGCGCACATAATAAAACGCACTATTATATTACTAATTTACTATCATTCGGAATCATAAAATGTATAATCAAATAGCTTCATAAAAAGTTAACATCGCCTGTTTCCCAGCTGCTTCAAGCTGGAAATTTATTAGTCGATGCCCCATCAGTTATAATTTATCGACTCTTGCAGCTTATAGTAATGGTTAAAAAATCGACCTTCAAAACGTCAAAACAGTACAAAACTAAACTCTGGAACTAAAGCGTCAAACGCCGGCTTTAAAAGTTCGGAATAGAAATTTTTTAAAAATAAAATCCAAATTTGAACTTTGAAAAATTCTAAAAGCTCTGCTCATATGATGTGGAAATTTGAGTCTGAAATGCATTTAATCTAAATCTGAAATATCAGTATTTCCAATTGTGACCTGCATGCAAATAGTTATCTAATTTTTATGTCCTCTTATATACTGTACATACCTCAAAATCCTTATTTCTTTCTTTCTCCGTCAGTTAGTATTCGTTGGGAACTCAAATTCATATGCCTGATAAAGCTTGCGTGCCAGCTTCTTTTAATGTCTGGGTTGTTATTGTGCAGAACTGAGTTCCGTTTCAGCTCCGTGATCCATATTTGGCGGCGATTATAGGTTAATAATCGCATGTTTTATCTTATCATTTTAATTTCCTAACAAAGACATGTATATTGAACACAATCAATACATTGGTATAAACTGTCTAACTTGCTATAAACTAGAAAAATTTCGTATGAGCACAGAAAAAAGGTCGTAAGATCTACGCGATTCATTTGACAAAACTTGTTCCTATATAGTATAGAATTAGAATACAATCATTATTTACCATCAGCCTACCGATTTAGTTCCGGCAGGGAGATTTTGGAGTATTTGAATTTCAATTACACATTTATTTCACTTATCAATCAGATTGAGGATATATGAAATAGATAGTATAGACAGTTGATATCATAACTTCACAAAACAACCGCTATAATTATACTGTCATTGCTATCATTAAATACACAAACGGTATCGCAATGTTTGTCCACTCGATGAAAGCGTTTTAATAATTAAATAAACCGGGTACGTAGCGAAACCGAGCGATACGCTAAGTTACGTTGTAACATAAAGAATACAGAATTTGTTAATTAGGAAAATTTTAAGATTGCAATTTTAACAATTAAAAAGCACAGCCAGGAAGTTTATACCAATTTCTACATTCCGAAGCCAAGGTAAGCAACTTTAAATTTTTTAATGAATTTAACCACGCACCGTTTTTTATGTTAAGATTAGCTGTTAAATATATTCAAAAGTTGCTCAAATCAATGCCAAAGTTAATAATGTATGTTATAATTTATGCTAGATGTCATTAAATTGAATAATTTACAAAGCTTTTAGTAAACAAATGCACGGTATAGCGTATTTCTTTTGCTACATGCCACGAGATCTTAAGGGTAAAAGGGCAGAAAGTTGCACCCGTTTCACCTATTCTAAAACGCTATAGAGCGTATATTCTAAAATTTAGAACAGCGCTCGATAGCGTCACTGAGTTGCAACCTGAGCAACCCACAACGGGCATTTGCCCGCGAAGACAACATCAACATGGCGCCCAAGCGAACTCGAAGTGGTAGTGTGAATAAACCAAAACGTTTTAAACCCGTTAAACTGCGCGTGCTTTCAGTTTCCACAAGTGGAAGCAAACGTGCCGGTAGCATCTTTCTGAAAACATCATCAGACAATGTTTCAAGTGCTCATGGTGATGAGATATCTACCAGCAATTTGCCCTCGCTCTCGATGGATACCGATCATGATGATCATGGCGATGATCGTGATGATAATGGCGATATTCTTGGTGACCGTAGTACTTCTGACTTATCACAACATCAGTCAAGACGATTACGGCAATACAGACAATGGGAAGAAGTCAGGGAGAAGCTTGTTAAATCTCGCTACGAACGAAATGCTTTCACAGCCAACGATGTACAGTGCTGTGATTGCACAGCATTCGCCGAAACTCGTTGCCTCGACTGTGGTCACGATATTTATTATTGCAGAAACTGTGCAATTAACAGTCACAACACAAGGAATCACTTCCATGTTTTAGAAATATTTAAGGTACATGAATTTATTAATACGTTTGCAAATTGCAAGCTGAGTCAGAGTCTCCCAAAGTCTCCTTCTAGTTCCATTCAATTGCTTGCTTGCTTGCATGAATCAATATGCATTTCATTATTTTACTGTCTAACCATTGAAATTTTGATGTTGTCCACCAACATGGTAGCAGTAATGTCACTTCAATTTTTTAATGGCTGATCTGGATTTTGTGTGTTTTGTTAAATTGTGTCATTCCACACCACACACTGTTTTTGCTTTGGTGGAGTGGTTACCATTACCTAAAAATTTACAAAGCAAGTTAGTGGTGGGATGCCATGCTCAGATAAATTAACTTGTAGATAGAAAGTGTAATTACCTTGTTGGTAATTTTGTAGGTAGATAGCTTGCATAATAGCTTCTGCTAGGTATTCTGAACAGATGTGTATGATCACTGAGGTTTTAATAATAATTTGTATCTTTCAATCTGTAGGATGGCTGTTTTCTACCATTCTTTGTTGACCAGAAACCATTGAGCTTATGGCATCAAAGGAATTGTCCTACATCTTGTGCCAGAATTGTTGCATGCATTGATCAACACGGTAAGCCACCAAGTACCAAAATGGTAATATAACATGTCTATTGATATTTTAGTAAATAGTAAAATATCAACCCTAGGCCACTAAAGATATACATTAAGATGCCCAAAAGCATACTGTACAGTAGATCTACAGTTGGACCAGGTATAATAATGCCTTACATATTTGATTCACCAACAGAGAAACTCTGAGTGTCATAGATTTATGTACATAGAGTGTATGATATTGACAATGACATGGTACACTTTCAGCCAGCCTATTGACATATGGAAACTTGTGAAATAATTTGAATATGAAAGACCATGTGGGGAATGAAGGACAATACTTAAATTCAAACCATTTGGCATTTTTGCCAAGTTTGCATACATCAACAGCTAGTGAGCTGACCTACTTTATCAGTTACAGAATGATTCTCAAGTGAGCAATTCTGTATGTTAATTTTACCCAGGGCGACAGCATCAGAAGCAAATCCTTTTTTGTGAATGTGAAAGTGATGTCGTGACCCTATGGAAGATGCATTTATGGCCTAACTCTGCAAAACGCCCTATTGTAGCTTATCACATAAAGCTGATGGAGTTGGCAGAAGCACTTGTTTTGGAATGTCAAGTTTCTCTGCAAAAGTTCTGTGACATGTTGACTGTCCTCAATAAATCAACTCTTTTCCCAAAATGGGTAAATTTTGTTAATTTACTATAGAATGTTCTTACTACTTACTATGGACTGTAAGATTACAATTGTCAATTTGTGTTTGATGTTCCTGTGACAACAGTGATGACAACTTATACAGTTGTCATTACTGTGATGATATACCACAATGACTAAACTTACCACTGCAGATAGGATACATGAAAGGGAAATTCATCTCATATTTTCTGTATTCAATACTGTAGGTGAAAAATGTTTACTCTGGTCTCAACAGCGATTCCTTTGATGAATTTAGGTACTGGTAACTGCATTTTGTGTACTGTTAGATTGGGTAATACCCTAATAGAATAATATAACTACAGAATGCATGTATATATTCCTTAAACATTTTCATACTAAGTCATACTGTCACTGTATTTGTGTAGATATCACCAGTATATGATGAGAGATGGTTCACCATATTGGCAAAAAACCCCAGAAATTTCTAGAAGTATCTGCCCTCTTTGTCCTAAGGTAAGTTTCGGTTTACATTATTACTGTGTTTCACCTAATATGTGCATGTGCAACTTCATCCTCAAATGCCCATTGTATACTATCATGGGCCTATTTTTTTCTCTTGAACTGTACTTGCATGTACTATCTAAGCCATATTAATTTCCTTAATATGCATGTAGATGTTGTGATATCTTTTTTAGGATGGTAAATCAGGAAGCATTGTGGAGTGTATGGATGGCTGTTTTGGGCTTGTGCGGAAGAAATCTGCAGGCACTGATATTTACCCATCCAGACACAAAACAACCATGTTTGCTGATCAAAATGATGTTGACAATTTTGTTCAAAGTTACACAGCAAATGCCAAAGAATCAAATGTTGTGAGTACAAGGGTATACAGTCTATGCTATGATAATATAATTAATATATATACATATATATATATATATATATATAATATATATATAATATATATATATATATATAATATATATAAATAGTTTGACAACAGGAGGAATTGTAACCACTTGTAGGTATAAAACATTTTTATTTACAGACAAACGTTTTCGCTTGTGAAAGCTCTTCAGGTCTGATGTATATACATAATATATATAATAATAATAATACGCAAGTAATAGTTATAAAGAACGATTCATTTGACAAGTTGAAGCTCATGTAAATAATAGAAGGATACTCTGTATATTTTGTAACATTTATTGCACGAACATTTTCGCTATATAAAGCTCTTCAGGTGCTATTACATCACTCTTACAAATTTCTATACTATACTGTAGGTCACTCCAAGCTTTTACACAATACATGGGGCATATAATATGCACAGATGTGTGTATTAATTATTGGACAGGTTAATTGTAAACTGTATAAACCTTATCAGGAATGCAATGAATTTAAAGCTGGAGAAGTAACTGACATGCTCAGGTCAAAAGGGAGAAACAAACTCTATGATGAAAAGGGTGTTTTTGGACGTGTTTGCAGACACGATTTCCCAAAAGGCTTCCTCAACATTAAACATGGAGAAAGGTATATGATTAAGTTGGTATTTGAGTAAGTTTGCACTGATAATGAATGGCTGTCAGAACAACACTTTACAAAAACCAATAGTGTACTGCAGTATATTCATTTATTTTCTCCAACTTGGTCTTCCCATATGTCATTTTCATATACTGATCGTGGTACAACACTTTAACCATGAATCACGCAGGACAAAATGTCTTAAAAATAAAAAACTATTGATAAAAAAACTATTTTTATTCTTTATAGGATAGCTTATTCCGTGTACGAACTACAGCGTCTATTAGACAATTATGATGGGACAAGTGTTGATGTAAAGATTACATATGATATTGCATGTACATTGGAAGCCCATTTGAAGGTACTGTACTGTTAACAGTAAAAAATTGATTTCTCCAGCCACATCACTAGTTTAACACCAGGTATATGGTAATAGCTAATGCACGCTGTACTGTGTTGTAGAAAAATGAGAGGGAAGACATTCTTGACAAAGTTGATTTAGCCATACCAATTTTCCACTGCTATGGACACAAGTCATCTTGCCAGGTAATGTATAGACATTCCATTATTATGAACCATGTAATTACTTTGAGAAAAATAAAGCTTCTATGTCTGATATCCCCTGTAAAATACTGAATGGTTTTATTATGATAATGCTATGAATTCAGACTTCTAATTAGTTTGGTATACAATATTTATTCTTTCTGACAAACTCCATACCCATGCTAGATACAGTTCAGCCCAAGGCGACTACAAGGCTATGGTTTAACTGATGGTGAAGGAATCGAAAGGTTGTGGTCATATTTAAGAGGTTTCTCTTCAATGACCAAGGAAATGAGCCCCGGGCGACGTACAGATATGTTGACCGATGCTTTGCTGCATTATTCCTCACGCCAGCTTCGTACATGTGGTACTGCAGTATCTGCTGTTTATATATTACATTATGCTTATTATGTACAGTATACGTTATGCTTAAACTATTAACCTCTCTAATAGGATTTCAACTTGCGAACAAGCTAAAGAAATGTCCAGTACTTCTTCAAAACGCATTGTTGCAATTGGAAGAACTGTTCTCTGCGTTATCCGGTGTAGTAGCTAAAAATTTGATTTGTTTGGTACAAGGTGTATATACTGTACATATGACACATCCGCAAAAATAATTGTAACAATTAAGTTTCAATCGTAGTTCCATATGATGGAGAAGTAATTAAGAAGTGGATGAAAGATGAGGAAAATCTGATTTTAACGAGAGGTTTGTTGCTGATGACTTGTGTCTTACACGTACAGTACATTGTTGTTTCTAGTTTACTAACAATTCTTCTGTATGCTGTATTTCAATACCTATAGCCAAAACCAAATTCACTTTGACGTGGCAGCAGAAGTACGTTCAGAATCTAATTCATTTGAATCAGCTGAGGTGCGTTCCCTTTTCGATAAAGGAACTTGTACGTACGTACATGTTGTCATGATTGTACTTTATTATTACACAGGTTTTTCAACGTTTTCGTATGTTCTTTAATTACAGATTGAATGTTGCATCTATTGAGGAAGGCGCACATGACCAACTGGTTGAAGTGGTTAAAAAAACAAAAGAGTGAGAGAAATTAAGATTCATTCTAACCTACATAATTTCTTTTTTGATCCTTTTATTTTGCAATGACCTAACCATCTAGGGTCATGAAGACACTGAAAAGTATTGAGAAGTGTAACAAGCTGCCGAAGAGGTGGAAACCAGGTGAAGCACATTTTAATGCGGCAGCTCTTGGTTTGGAAAATCAAAGACGGGATACAATTGTGGAGCAGACGTATAATATGGCAGTGGAGAGGATGTTTCTTATTTCTCTTAAAAGAAAATATTCAGGTAAAGGCTAAAGCGGTCTACCAAGATAACCGTGTCTGGTGTGCTGTTACAGTTGCTACATGTGGTACCAGAAGCGGAAAGTACGACATGTACATGCATCGTATAGGACTTCTCTAAATTTAGTCCACTTCTGCTGAGGACTAAATTTATAGATAGTACAAGGTAGAAGTATTATACTGTAGCTTCCAAAACGAACCAATATTTGGCGAGAAATTCCAACTTGAATTTCGCTAGTGTTCCAGGAATAAATTGCAATGAAAATAAGAATTCAGCATTACTAACGATGTGAATTTCTTTCGTCTTTGCTTTATGAATTACTGTCAGTATAATAATGTATTTGAGAAGCGAAATACAAATTGCATGGTAACTTTAGCAGTTTGTCAATTAATACTCTATAACTATATTAATGCTTTTGGTTTTACTACCAGATGGTCAAGCAATAGCAACGAAATTATCGAAGCAAATAAACAGAAAAACAAATGCGATCAAGAGTACGGTCACCAAGTATAATGCCTCCTTAGCTGCTTTGCAGGAATTGGTTGATGGTGCCCAAAGAGTTTGAACTTTGACGAAGCTAAGGATCCTGAGTCTAGTCTTTACAGAACATATTGCGACGAGAGTACTGTTGAGAGTGTCCCTTTTTCTGTGAAAAGGTCTGCAATTGACCTACAAAATTTCTTAGATCGATGCAAAGAGGAGCAGCAACTCTTGTTGAAGGAAATGGAAATGCTATTTGACCATTATTTGAAAAGAAGAGATTGTCTGGAAGAGAGTTATCAACTTCACTCGCAGAACGACTGCAGACTTTCAAATGGGATTTGTACTGTGGTGAAAAGTGAAATTTGCGAGACAAACAATATTTTGCTTTCCTTAGGAACCACATTTCGTAATCATTTAGATGCACCTATTCTTGACACAATTTCTGGGATTACTGCTACAACATCTTCTCATCTGTCGACGTCCTTGTTCCAGGAGACTATTGAAGATGATGAAATCGCAGTTATAGAAGAGCAGGTTATAGAAGATCTTGTTGATTTGTTAGATGGTGAAGATGACGACGATACTGCAGCTCATTATCAAAGTGATTGTGATGGTGGTAATGTTTGATGAACATTCCACAACATGAACTAGAACAAACTGTAATAATAGTGGTATTCTATATGTAGCGATTTATGCCTAGAAAATGTACAAATGTGTTAGTTTACCTCAATCCAGCGACAATGAGTGGGTGGCACCCCATGATACCCCCCATTGAGCAGTTAATACGGAACTCCTTCCGGGGGACTGGAAGCCCTGGTTAAAAATATTCTGCTAAACGTTTCTGGCATGGTGTCGCAACGGTGTCGCTTATGCAATAGTGACATTATGTTCAGAAACCATTTGATTCGAGCTTTGAAATGTTCTAAAATTTAAAGAGGTCCTGCAACATTTATTGCCAGTATAGTAATCAGAATATATGTTGACAAGTGCGTTATGAGTAATCCATAAGCAACCCGCAACTTAATAATAAAAGTAAACTAGAAATAATCAAAGATTTGGCACGTGCGTTCGATTTTTTTATTACCAAAATTTAATGTCGAAAACGAACGCGAAAATGTGCGCAACAATAAAAAATTTCCAAATAAAACGGAATAACACGATGTCGTTCCCATAATAACTTGAGAAATTACAGTACACTACAGTAGTAAGAAATTCCAAAACTAGTGTAAATACAAAATTTCAGAGCATTTGAATAAAATTAAGATGAACTTTGAATTCAGGGTGGGTAGATTTTATGAATAAATAAGCCAAATATATTAACATAACATTTGTTTTCTTTGTTTAAAACAAAGGAATCAAAGGGCCGCCAATAACAATGTTTGGCTTATTTTTTTCAGTAACTTACCAACCCTGTTTGAATTTTGGGGTTCGTGTCGCTCGTATCAGGTATAGACCTAATCACCTAAGAGGGCGAGCGTGAAAAGCACCCCAGATGAAAAGTGCGACTATCTTAACGAAACTTTGCACAACGTTTTGTATCACGGAAACTAGTGTAAATACAAAATTTCAGAGCATTTGAATAAAATTAAGATGAACTTTGAATTTTGGGGTTCGTGTCGCTCGTATCAGGTATAGACCTAATCACCTAAGAGGGCGAGCGTGAAAAGCACCCCAGATGAAAAGTGCGACTATCTTAACGAAACTTTGCACAACGTTTTGTATCACGGAAACTAGTGTAAATACAAAATTTCAGAGCATTTGAATAAAATTAAGATGAACTTTGAATTTTGGGGTTCGTGTCGCTCGTATCAGGTATAGACCTAATCACCTAAGAGGGCGAGCGTGAAAAGCACCCCAGATGAAAAGTGCGACTATCTTAACGAAACTTTGCACAACGTTTTGTATCACGGAAACTAGTGTAAATACAAAATTTCAGAGCATTTGAATAAAATTAAGATGAACTTTGAATTTTGGGGTTGGCGTCGCTCGTATCAGGTATAGACCTAATCACCTAAGAGGGCGAGCGTGAAAAGCACCCCAGATGAAAAGTGCGACTATCTTAACGAAACTTCGCACAACGTTTTGTATCACGGAAACTAGCGTGAATACAAAATTTCAGAGCATTTGAATAAAATTAAGATGAACTTTGAATTTTGGGGTTGGCGTCGCTCGTATCAGGTATAGACCTAATCACCTAAGAGGGCGAGCGTGAAAAGCACCCAGATGAAAAGTGCGACTATCTTAACGAAACTTCGCACAACGTTTTGTATCACGGAAACTAGCGTGAATACAAAATTTCAGAGCATTTGAATAAAATTAAGATGAACTTTGAATTTTGGGGTTCGCGTCGCTCGTATCAGGTATAGACCTAATCACCTAAGAGGGCGAGCGTGAAAAGCACCCCAGATGAAAAGTGCGACTATCTTAACGATCTTTGCACAACGTTTTGTATCACGGAAACTAGTGTAAATACAAAATTTCAGAGCATTTGAATAAATTTAAGATGAACTTTGAATTTTGGGGTTCGTGTCGCTCGTATCAGGTATAGACCTAATCACCTAAGAGGGCGAGCGTGAAAAGCACCCCAGATGAAAAGTGCGATTATCTAAATATCTAAATTAAGATGAACTTTGAATTTTGAAAGTGACCATCATTATTTAAAATTGTCTCTCTCTTTTGTTATTTCTTTCACTGTATCTTTTGTTCTTCCTTGTTTTCTTCCTTTAGTTCTTCTTTTCGTTCTTCCTTTCTTTCTTTCTTTCTTCTTGTCTCTTTCCTTGCTTGCTTGCTTCCTTGCTGGGGCACACACACACACACCACTATCGCAACGGCCCTGCTTATTCGTTCCTATGTTATTCATGGGGTGTTTATATGGAAGAAGGCCAGCCCTCACTGGAGAGCTGGCCCTTGAAGAAGAGATCCCTCCTCCTTAGCCAGCCCCCCTAACAGGGCCAAGCCATCTCATATAAACACGAGCTGAAAGCCAACCGCCAGCTGAAAGGCCAATCCTCTTAAGCGGGCCAGCCTTCCCCATATATTAACAGCCCCTCAGTCTTGTCAGATTTCCCATCACTCGAGTAAGCACATTACCGAATTCCCTATATCATTTTGACACATTTACCCACAACATTCTACAAATTTTCATCTATTTCCATTTAATTCTTTAATAATCACTAGTCACAGAAACCGTATTCTATGCAGCGCTTCGACACGTAGCAAGGACTCTTCTAACCATATCTTTGAAATCAGTCGGTTAGCAACGTTTAAAATTGCAAAAATGTGACATTGCTGATACCATTTTTTCTACACATGCTTGGACCCCCACCCAGCATACAGTGCAATGGGCGTGGTCTGAATAACAAAAAACCCCATGAAAAAACCCCATGAAAGATGGACCATTAAATGTTCGTTTTGCAACTATCTATCGATGAATAGACAGCGAGTAACGTAGCCAATGACAACGCAACATTTGCAACAGTATAGATATTATGACTCACGTACCTATGTAGGTGTGTAATTACAACTTGCAATAGTTCTAGGCAGAACAATTTAGGCCTGTTTCAAAACGGCGAGTTTTCATGTGCCGAATTCAATTCATATTGAGCTCGACCAAGTTGGCTTGGTGATTCAAACGTCGAAAATAACAAAGTAGTCGAGCTTAACATATAGACTCAAGTCGATTGTTTGGGTTGGATGGGTTAGGCACATGGTAAACTCGCCGTTTGAAACAGGTCTTACGAAGGTTTAAAAAATTACTTATCAAAGCCATGTTTTCTCAAACACTCCTTTACAGAGTAGTCAAAATCAGCGGACACCGCAATGAGCCTCAATTCATCCTCTGTATCAAGGTGTTTTCTAACTCTAAGAGACCCAAGTTCGCTAAGATTGTCGTTGATCAAATTCAATGCCACAATTGATGCTTCTTGGGGCTCAACCAGTAACTTGTAGTGTAGTTCCTGTTCGGTCTTGTCAAGCCAGTAACCGCTAATTGGATCTTCTGGTTGTAGATTCTCAATCTCATCGGCGGTTCCGGGATGGTAAAACAACCAGTATGCATCACTGGTGGTTGTATACACGGGTAATATATACCCTTGATGACCCCTGCCTGCCTCAAAATTACTTTCTAGTGCGGTGATTGCATCTTCATGGAAGTAATCCCGCAATTGTGTAGTGAGAATATTGAACTCACTAGCGGTGAGGTCGAATTCGCATACTTCCAAATCCTCCTCTAAGATTTGGTGTTGGTTCGATAGGCTGGCTGTAGCGGTTTCTTCGGTGACTAATTTTACCAAAATTTGCTTGTGTACTGCAAGTTCGGCGACAGTGACTTGTGATGGCACTTTGACAGCAGGATTTTGTAAACAAAAGGCGATGTCATCAGCCTTGTTCATGATTTTCTGGATTTGTTTTTGCCCATAAGTGCTCGGGTTTCTAAACTCAATTTCATCAGGTAATCCTGAAACGACGAAACCACCTTTGGAATACGGCACTTTCTGTATGGGCTTTCCACATGCTTCACCTACGAAAAAAAGTAAAGCATATATATAAGTATATATATGGCACGAAGAAGATTAAAAGTGAAGGGTATCAATACATACTATATACTCATTTTGCACAAACGTTTTCGCTTTTTTATTTAAGCTCCTCAGGTGCTATGAGTTATTTACAATCATTTGTAAATAACTCATAGCACCTGAGCAGCTTAAATACACTACACATACGATAAACACTACACATACGCAGACCCTCCTTACGTTTGATGTAAATTATTTTGACCAAGTAAATAACCGTTCCAATAAAATACTTGGCATTATATATTTAAGAAATAGAAAACATTTTCCGTGTTTCTATACAGTTATAGAAACACGCGTGGGAGTTTGGGAGAACTCGAAATAACGTGGAAAAACTCGCCCTACGGGCTCGTTTTCCCACTGATTATTTCTCGTTCTCCCAAATAACGTGGAAAAACTCTCGAAATAACGTGGAAAAACTCGCCCTACGGGCTCGTTTTCCCACTGATTATTTCTCGTTCTCCCAAACTCCCACAAGTGTTTCTATAACTGTATAGAAACACAGGAAAAAATGTTTTCTATTTCTTTTATAATATAACTCAATAAAAAGATTTTGTACAAATATTATAATTCGATTCAATTACAAATTCTCATTACATTACTTCGCTTGACCAGTTCGGCGGGAAAATTCCCGTGTTTCTATACAGTTATAGAAACACGCTTCTCGACCAATCAGCACGCGCGTACTATAAATGTTATATTATAAATGTATATATAATTATGTAGAGTTATCATATGAGGAGTGAGGTGATATCACTTTTATCGCATGAGGAACAATATCACAAAATGTCACGAGTGAGCGAAGCGAGGGAGGGACATTTATGACATTGTCCTGAATGCGATAAAAGTGATATCACCGAGATTAGAATGTTGTCACATTACAATGTTATCACATTGTTATTCACATTACAATGTTATCACATTGTTATTCACATTACAATGTTATCACATTGTTATTCACATTACAATGTTATCACATTGTAATACGACGAGCTACCACATCCGAAAATATGTTGTATGAAACACAGTAAACAATAATTACATGTACTGTACATCGTACGTATGAAACTTACTGTACTTCCGACGAAACAATTCACGAACATCGTGCATGGTGTATTTGACACATTGTGGAGAATCTATGTAAGAAAAAACATATTCCATATATATTTCTGTATTTCTGTATTTCTGTATTTCTGTATTTCTATATTTTCTATATTTCCATATTTCCATATTTCCATATATATATATATATATATATACCTGGAGATAAGATCAAATTATCAAACTGTACATACCAGGCAACTTGGTTGTGTTGTTACAGGTGGAAGTCATGATTTATACGATTGTGTATTATCTTATTGGCTGTACACATTTACTTCTAAAAGTTTGTGCCACTACTTACTCATGTATTCCATAAACTTCAATGCAACATTTTGGTTTTCTTCTAAGAAATGTAGGCCTTCATTTGTCCCATACTGCTGAAGCAAGGGGGATTCCCCTGGCTCCAGAAGCAACACAGATGCTGTGCACCCCAGGCTTTCTAAATATGCAAGCTAAAAGAAGTAGACATATCATGGTTTAGTTACTAGTCCTGTCAGGACAAAAAGCGGCTAAAGGAAGGTAGACACAATTCATTAAAATAGTCACTGTACTTGCATCTAATATGCATACTGCAATGGGTCTTCTTATAATTCCTTCATATTGAAACAATGCAGAGTATATTGTGTATTATTTGCTGATAACAATCAACAGTCAAATGCAATGTGACAAGGAAGGGAGGAAGGAAGGAAGGAAGGAAGGAAGGAAGGAAGGAAGGAAGGATGGAAGGAAGGAAAAGGAAGGAAGGAAGGAAGGAAGGAAGGAAGGAAGGAAGGAAAGAAGGAAGGAAGGAAGGAAGGAAGGAAGGAAGGAAGGAAGGAAGGAAGGAAGGAAGGAAGGAAGGAAGGAAGGAAGGAAGGAAGGAAGGAAGGAAGGAAGGAAGGAAGGAAGGAAGGAAGGAAGGAAGGAAGGAAGGAAGGAAGGAAGGAAGGAAGCAAGCAAACAAGCAAGGAAAGAGACAAGAAGAAAGAAAGGAAGAACAAAAAGAAGAACTAAAGGAAGAAAACAAGGAAGAACAAAAGAAAGAACAAAAGATACAATGAAAGAAATAACAAAAAAAAGAAGAGAGAGACAATTTTATTTAATAATGGTGGTGAAACTGTATAAATGCCATTATATTACACGACTTACAGTAATAAAGAGATATAAAAATTTAGGATTTCAGAAATGAAGAAAGATCTTTACTGGTTTGAGGTCAAGAAGCCTGTCATACACTTGTCTGAATGACGCTATTGACACCTGTTTTTGCATACCTGAGAAATTAATTGCTTCTTTGCCTTTTTGATCTTGGTATGGCGCTCTTTGTTGGAAAGGTCTATGGGATTTGCAGACTGAGCATCCTTTGCTTTTTTTTTCCAGCATTCTTGTTCTTCGACAGTCAGTGAGTTCCAGGTTGTTACAGCCATTTTTAATTTGTCAGAGTTATTGCTCAGCTCTTGGCATGTATCTGCCAAGAGAAATGTACATAATACTTTAGAAAGGTAGCAATTGTACAAGTACACAACCCCTCCTGAGAAATTATTGCATATGGTATAATGATAACTGGACCCCTGAACACAAATACCTGGCAACCCCGATGGTAATGTGAAATATTTAACCCAGAAACCAAGGTTAATATTGTAACACATGATTTTAATTGTATTCTTACCTGAATTCAGTATATATGAGCAAAACAAGTTGTACCCGGTGGTCTGTGGCTTGCTTCTGCAGTGCCTTTTTGTTTGTTGGTTTGTATCATCCAGTGCCTGCCCCGACTTCTTTCTTTTTCTCTCATTCCCAATCCATTTCTAAGTTAAAATTGGGTTGGTTTAAATGTCTCATAATTAATTAATTATCTCACTATTTTCACAGTCAAATCTGCTATACAGGTAGGTTTTAAAAATTAGATGGAACATGAAATTCTGCCAGGGGTAAATCTCCCCTTGATGACAATAAAACTGTGTTGTGTTAGCAAGAGTAAAATCTATTAAGAGGCAGTTTCCTACTGGGAGCTGTAATGGATTACTTAATAAAGTTGTCTGGCCTTATCACTAATTAATTGTGCTGTGGCTGGATTGCAAGTAGTTAGCTGTGTTCACACTTCACATGCATTGACTAGTCTATTGAGTACCAGCAAAACCTGTCAGATCAGTACCGGTAGTCTTACTTTTCAGTATCGGCAACCTGTTTCAAGCTTTCCAGGGAACAATTTGTACTTGTCAAGGGGAGAAACCCAGAAAAACTGCTGATAAAGGGTTAATTTGGTTATAAGATAGAGACAGCAGCAACCATGATAGTAAACATCATTGATGATGATACATATTACTCATGGAAATCCATTTGGCAGCAAATAGCTGGACATTGACTCGGTTAAATTTGTGAATGCTTTGGCAGACTATTAAAATCAGTAAATGCAGTGTGAGCTGTGAACATTGCAGCTTTATTAGTTACATAACTGATCACAAAATATGTAATACTAATAAGTTAACCTTGCTACAACTACTGAACTACACTACAGTACTTCCGAGTTAAATCTCATATACTGTACGTACCGTAGCAGACATTGAAAATTTGAATAAAGCGATCAGTAATTATACTGACTACTGAGTCAGAGTGCACGAGAATTAAGTAAAATGAATGATAATGCCATGGAAATGGTGGTCGAACATCGTACGCACTGGCAAAGCGCGTCGGTACAAGTCTATATAAATATAGTTTTGTAGTAATAAATGCAAATTTATTGAAATTTAGCCTTTGGCTCCACCGTCCTAGTATTTTGTTGGCGCACATAATGATAAATAATCAATGACAATATCAGACATACAATATATATAATACAAAGAAAACTTACCCTCACACGCGCAACGCTAACATTTGTTTTTACTGCAGCTTCTTCTATTAGTTCCTTCACATCTTTGCGTGTCGTTGTCATCCCTCGCTCGAAGAAACCACGCAAAATCGTTTTTTGGTCATCGTCTAATAGATCGTACTTCTCCGAACGTTCCGCCATCTTGCACACATGTGGTCGAAGCCCGTTGTGGGTTGCTCAGGTTGCAACTCAGTGACGCTATCGAGCGCTGTTCTAAATTTTAGAATATACGCTCTATAGCGTTTTAGAATAGGTGAAACGGGTGGAAAGTTGTTACTAAACCAACAGAAATACAGTACTGTCTAGAAATAACCTAACACTGCGGTTGCGGTTCGGTTACGATTATGTTGCAGTTCAGTAATTGTCCACCGATAGAAACTCCAGACGACTGCAAGAGAAAAATACCTTTGCAGTTGCCGTTCGTTTCCGAAGGAAATGTTATGAGCAGCTGAGAAGGACAACAAAACTACCAAATCGAAAAAATCTTAAGAATCTGTCAGACCGAGTTAGGCCGAGGTTCAATCTCCGTCTCGCCGTGGTTTGACCTCGGTCGGTGCTCGGTTTAACCGTGATGAGACCGATGTTTGACCTAGATTAACCGCGGTTTTTATTTCCAGAAAGTACCGTACATAATGAACAAGAAAGGTTCGAAACAACAGAAAATGAACTAAAGCATTTGAAACTTCTATCATGATTGTATTTTTATTGTTATTTTGGAATTCCAAGTCTGTCAAACAAGTCGTAAATCAAGAACAAAATCATACAACGTTCTTCACAGCAGTTGGCGGATCTAAGGGCACGTGCAGAATAAAGTACGCCACCTAATTTTAAATTCAAAACACCTTAATAACAACGCTATTGCATGGCTACAGATTTGAAAACAATATTTTTACATTAAAATCTGTCAATGCGATTCCGATTTTAAGCTGTGGTCATGTATTCTGCACACCCTTAGATCGACTGCCAGCACTTTACAGCTTTATCAGTGAAATAAAGGTTATGGATATGCTAGGTTCTGATCGCCTTTTATACAAGAACTCAATCAAATTCAAATCACAACATCACGCAAATAATAACCTTCATGTATACACGCTTTAAAAATTTTGTAAAAGCTCTTATTGTATATAGCGATGAAATTTGAACGCCATCTTGCAGCAAATGCATTTCAATGCATTTAATCCAAATTTCAAATTAATTCCTAATTGTGGACCACATCCAAATGGTCGTGCACTTTTTATATCATCAAATATTATACAGTATAAGCCTTGAAATTTCCTATTCCTTTCGTATAATTATATTCTTCAGCTAAGACTGGCCGATTTGTTTTCGTTGGGAGCTCAAATTCACATGCCAGACATAGCTTGCGTGCCGGCTGGTTTTAATATCTGGGTTGTTATTGTGCAGAACTGAGTTCCGTTTCAGCTCTGTGATCCATATTTGGTGGCAATTATATGCTAATCGAATATTTTTTCGTTTGATTTTCCTAGCAAAGTTACGTATATCGAATACAATCAATAAATTCAAAATGATATAGCTGTCTAGAAAACTTTAGAATGAGTGCAGAAAAACAGTCGTAAGATTTCACGCAATTTACAAAACTTGTTCCTGGTACACTTAATAATCTTACAGTCGGCTTACCGATTTACAGTTCCGCTATAGCGGAAGTTTTGGATTATCTCAAGTCTACAATTCTTTCAGTTATCAATCAGAATGAGGATATAATTTATACGAACCGAAAATAGATGATATAAAAGATTTGGTATCATAACTTCACAAAGTGACCGCATAATGATATTATAGACTTATACATGCAGTGTCGCCGTATAATGTGGCTCTTCTGTTCGTGCAAAACCTAGAGGCTAGATAACGAAAATGGCCAATTAGTATAGAATAAATTCACAGCAAGTTATTGCATTCATTTTCGTAGCATCATAATTATCTATAGCATTAGAAAAGCTTACAATTGCGAAGATAATTTTTATATGTAATTCGCATTATATCCACTAAAAAGCACGACAATGATACAAATTATTGATTTGGACATGTTATACAACGAGTTGATTTCAAGTTTCCGCCTACCATACAAATGAATATCTGCAGCATACAGCATAACCATGCAGCATACTCACTATGCAGCAAAGCTATTATAGTATACAAGCATGCATCAATTTTTTTATCGCTCATGCAGTCTTTCAAAGAATTTCAACTGCTTGATCGGATCAAATAGTTTCCCAAATTTAAAAAAGGAATAGGAATGCTAAGATTTGAAGTTCAAACAATCTTTAAAAACGGGTCTAACAACAATTCTTTATGAATTATCATATTCAATTATAGTGTCGTCAAGTGGGTCTTTAAATTTTACAACATCCGTCCTCGAAGGCTATAAAATAAATTATGTGCTCGATTCTGATTACCTATTACAAGAATTGGATCAAATTCATATTACCGCATTCCTCAAGTGATACCTATATACAGGGTGTCTCAAAAAAAACGCAACCACTTAATATTCTAAAATTCATATTGTTTATAAGCTCAATAGATTTTATGCCCCTGGGATTTTAAAATGGCTTCTAATCGTACAGTTCAACTGCTAATAGTCAAATCAGCTAAACTAATAATGGTGCAGCTAACAACCGAACAACGAGTTTTTATTGTCAACCTTATAAAATAAGTTGTAAGTAAAATTTTACTCGTTAAATACTTTCAATTCAGCTCGTTGGTTTACGCACCTGACTTTGTTTACCGACGATTGTGCCGCTAGAATATGATTACAAGCTTTCTCGCATTCCAGGGGCCAAACGTCTTTTGTGTTGTAGAACAAAGAGGATATTCATGAATATTAAGTGGTTGCGTTTTTTTTGATACACCCTGTATATGTTTACATGCATTGCAAAAGTTTTGCTCATATATAAGGTGCAAATTTGAGTGTAATCTGAAAATACGTTTGAATCTTAGATTATTTAATTTGCAAATATTGACGTCATTTTATATTCATACCTCGAAATTCTCATTCTTATTCTGTCTTCAGCTAAGTCGGATATTATGTACTCGTTGCATGGGGGGTAGGGAATGAAAAACATCTGACGTAGCTTGCGTGCTAGCTTTTTTAAATCTGTAGTTTGTTGTTTTCTAAACTGATTTTCATTGCAGTTTCGTGATCTATATCTGTCTAAATATGTGTGGCGACAATTATAATTCACAGATAAAACTTGTATATTACGGATTTTTGACTGGTATATTGACAGCAGGCATTTGGTAATATTGCACGTTTTGGCGCCAGCACACGCATCAGACATGCTTAACATTATAGTTATAACTATCAAATCTTATCATCATATTGTTGTCGCAATATTAACAAAAAGATATTCTATATTTTGGTGTAAACGTGCCCTTTAGACTAATTAATGCATTTCCACGTTCATGCATTGGCGTCGCGATATTTACGTGCATGCATATATACTCAGAAATCTTGTAAATACATCGTGGTTATACGACAGAGCATGGACATGCTATTGTGGCTCCGAATATGGCCGAGAATACATTTGATAACTTGATAGCTGTCTTTTAGGCCTGACTTTTCCTAAAATTAAAATCTATAAAATTCCTTAATGATTTTTAACCTGATAAAATTGGAAAATTTTAAAGTTTTCTTTATCGTAATCTTTTAGGACATACCACTTATTAACCGAATTTGAGGTCCGTACTAGAAAAATATCAGACCGAGGTTTTGACAGTACGGATCGAGCGATAGCGAGGCCATTCGCCAAGCAAGCACTGTTCAGTGGCTAACAAAACTTTTTTTTTTACTCGTTAAATAAGAATGATACAGTAATATGAACAAAAATTAAAGATGAATAAATATATAATATTTAAATGTACCAAATAATGCTGTTCTTTGTCCATTCTCCGTCGATATTTTTCGTGTCAAAAATAAAAGTGGAAGCTTTTTTTGTTCAAAAATATGAGGGTTGGACCGTTACTACAGCAACAGTCTAATACTGGGGGATTCCAGAACGGCAAAGAACCAATCAGCGAACGCCATTTTAGTCACGAGACCGCGTGCCATATAATAAATAGTTTTATTGCATATATCACCGCAGTCCTCGCTGACTTTTATCTAAAATTTTCACGTTTGCCCGTATTTTCGTTCACCTTTATTGCCGCCTTTGTTGGTTTCTCCAAGACTGTTTAGTTTATAAATGGGAAAAAATCATATATTAGCTGCCTAAAACAAAAGGATCTCTTTGTTTTCATTTAATCGAATTCAGTGCCGTTACTGGCCGTCGCTAGAAGCTAAATTGGGTGAGGAGAAAGAGGGGGGTTTTATTAATCTATTCTCATATTCACATATGCCTATGCCTGTCGGATTTATTTTGTTTGCTATTCTTTCTACGGTTGTGCGAACATGAATATATGAATATACTCTCCCCCCCCTTAAAATTCTAGCAACGGCCCTAATCACATTAAAACATCTGTATAATTATGCGACCTCTGTATCAGGTCTGGTCAGCGAATTAGGTGCGCATGCAGGAAGATTTCACAATTGTAGAATAAAAAAACAATACCGGTAATATAAGCCATCCCATTGGCAACGACCTGCATGAGCAAACATGAAAATCTATGCCTAAGGATAAAACGTGAATCATTTCAAATTTTTCAAGTTATAAGTTAAAACTTATAGGAAAAATCTCTTCCGATAACTTTGTTATGAGCACAAGTAAGGAAATACTTGACTTTTACATTTTAATTTTTTTTTCATCACGCATGCAGATGATTTAAGATTTAAATAATTATCACAAAATCACTTTTCTTTGCCATTTTTGACCGTGCAAGCGTTTTTTGTATGTTGGATGAAATTTAAAGACTGCAGGAGCCATCAAAAACACATAAAATCTACCATTTCTTTTCTGGATCCTTTTAAAAATAAGTATATTAGTTCTTTAGTTAGTAAATGGTGCCAGCAACTTCACGTTTTG